TGTGTGTGTGTGTGTGTGTGTGTGTGTGTGTGTGTGTGTGTGTGTGTTTGTGGTGTAATGAGTTATGATTTATACAAAATATTTACATCTGTTTCCTAGTGAGGCAGTTGACAAAACCACTCCCACTGTGCACACCTCGCCTGCAGCGAAAACCTTTTCCAAATCTGCAGCATCACCCAGGAATGGCAACATCGTCCCTGCTTCCACGTTCAAGAGCCCAGCGGCCCAGAACAAGTCTTCCTTCCCGCCTGGAGGTCCAGCAGGTAGAGGAACACATTCAGAAATCCTCCCCTACTTCTGTTACGTTCACTGCCTCTCAAATGCTTGTAGTTCTGTCCAGTTTATTTTGTGTAGTTGCTTCTTTTAGCCTACAGAGGGCAGCCCCATTCTTTTAAATCACTGCTTGCTCAGCCGTAACATTTATTGCAGGTTTAATATCTGACACTAAGCCATTTAAGATTATGAGCTCTATAACATCCAGAGGTATTCTGTTAATGAGCTTATATTAATGGCTTTTTCCCAAGATCCCCTTAGTTAAATAGATTGTGAAATTGAGAATTATGTATTTTATTTTGTGTGAAGGCTGCTCTTTAAATCCAGCAATCCCTGCCACGAGACCTCGAGCTGGTCAGGGTAAATGTTTGCTGAAAGGCATCAGTAAAGGGGTCATTATTAGCATTGCTAAGACATAAGTGTGCACTTATACAAGAACAGATGCACTATGTGCCCTAACGTATTTCCCTGGAGGCCTTTTTAAGAAACTGGCTGCTGAAAGGTGCCACAGGGAGAGAGAGCTGGAGAGCCCACAGTTGGTTCTCTGTTGACTGTGTTATTTATCAGGTTAACACATACTTGGGTTCAAGTATACAGGCCGAAATATGTGGAATGTGACCATTACATTTATTGACATGAATTAATGATTTTGGCACTTAAAATGCAACGACCTTCTAAAGCAAGAAATTAGTGGAATATTAAGGCCGTACCAAAAAAAAAAAAAAGCGACTTCTTTGCATTGCTCTCCATCCTGCTGTCTCTGAATTCAGTGAGACAGAACAGACAAAACAGAAGTCTGCAGTCCTGCTCTGATTCAGGTTTTTTTTCTCCTTATCTTCCTTATACAGCACGACAGCAATGATGGACTCACAAATGTCCTCCAATCGTTTCTCTTGCTAAAGGATTCGTTGAGAATATTTTAGCCCCACTGACAGCTTGTCACCATGCGCCTCACTGCGCCAACTGTCACACAGATAAGGCTATAAAGTTCCACTGAAAAATATTTTCCCAGCATCAATACCGCATTTAATTCATTTTAATGTGTTTATCCATTTTTGGTATTTTCCGTTATGTATAGCAATTATATTTTCTGTTAAATATCCGAACAGATTTTAAAAGAAGATCTTAATGCTGTCTCAAAACCATCTACTGATACTGACTACTGAAGAAATACACAACATACAGACTAGACCTAGTCAAATTTGAATATATTAACTCTAAAAATATTGGATTAGCATAAAGAATATCCCACATGTGCATGTTTTTGATTGAAAACTTCTCCAGGTTTGCTAAGGCCCTCAAATTCCCTGAAAAATAATAATAAACACCTGCTCAGAAAAGAACATGGCCCTGCTCAGGAAGTGGATATTTTAGATATTTGTTGATGTCACTGGAAATTGGCTGATGGTGTTAAGAAGAGCAACCTTTCAAATTAACCATAATGACAACATCCTTTTTACCCAATAATTATAAACTAAAAAAAAAATCTCTGAGAGAATCTTTGGAGCCCATATTTTTCTCCGTCACACTTACTCTCTAGTATCTTTCTTCCTGTTAAACCCACTCACACGGTCTTCTCACATCCCTGCTAGAGCCCTGCTCTGTTTATTCAGTTTGTTTGCTCTCCGCTTCAAGGAAATTTAGGGAGCTCTTGTCCTTTGACCTCCCAGGTCTTTGATAACGGTGCTCTCTTTCAATAGTGTCTCTGTCCCCAGTGTCTTTACCCCCCGAGCACTCCCTCTGAGAAACAGGACTGACCTCCATCCTGGATGTGTCTTTTCACAGTGAGAGAGAAGGAAGAATTGTGCATCCTCTCCGTATGTTTTGAGATAAAGGGGGGGGGGGGTTATTTTTCCAGGTGTCTCCTCTGACTCTGGGAATGTGTTGTTTCCCCTCAGTGGGAAAAATTGATCCCTTGTCTAGTTTGGGTGGGGTGGCTCTGTCCAACGCAGCTGTCTCATGCTTCAGCCATGGAGGTTAGAGATCATCAAATCATTCTGTGGAATGAAATCATTATTATCTCAAGCATTGTATTAATGGTTTGCTTGATTGTTTATCAATTTAAAATTTCGGAAAGTATATTATGTCCATTACTTTATCTACTACATACTACTACTAATACTGACCCATTATTTCACCTGCTGGTTTAGGTTTTACAAAGGTCGGAGCAGCTCCTTCATTTGGCAAGGTTACCAACCCGGCTGCCAAAGGTCCAGATCGACCCACCCCACAGCCACATCCACAGGACCTCAACTGTGTGGTGCAGCGGGCTGAGCACATCCCAGCCGGGACACGCACCCCAATGTGTAACAAGTGCAACATTGTCATCAGGTAAATAATATCAGAAAAACTGCATTTATAGTAAGAACTTTGGAACAGTTGAAAATATATATTCAATTAGAGTGCAACATTCTGCACAACTTATACCGTGCAGAAACTTTACCTTAATAGGTGGATGTTTTCTGTTAATGTTTGCATCATTGCCTTGAATCCTCTGTCACTTGTTTATTCTTACAAGGGGCCCATTCCTTGTGGCCATGGGCATGTCATGGCACCCCGAGGAATTCAACTGTGCTCACTGCCACTCCTCCCTGGTAGAAAATGGATTTGTGGAGGAGAAGGGCCAAGTGTACTGCGAACGTTGCTACGAGCAGTTCTTCGCTCCCACCTGCGGCAGCTGCCGCCAGAAGATTCTGGGGGTGAGTGAGAAAGCTGTGGGTGGGGGGGGGGATTGTTCTCTGCCAAAGTCTAAACTTTTCTGTCTTTGTTTTGTTTCCAAAAACAATGTTTACTGTCCTTTAATTGTATTTATGCCTTATTTAACCACGATTAGGCCAATTGGGATTAATAAATCCCCTTCTTCAAGGAAATCCTGGCCAAGACTTTTACGCAGCAGCACAAGATAAAAATAAAAATGTGATTGTGAACAGATACAAAATCGAAGAACAGACTACAATACATAGCGTAACATCTCAATGATCAAAGTGCACTACAAGCCACGCATCCAAAATATTAGTTTAAGTTTCAAATCATGGTGTTAACAACTTCAACAAGCTGTTCTTCATTTATTTCTTCTATTTTCTCTGCAGGAAGTCATGAATGCCCTGAAACAGACCTGGCATGTGTCCTGTTTCGTCTGTGTCGGCTGCCAACAGCCAATCAGGGGCAACACATTTCACATGGAGGATGGACAGCCATACTGTGAAAAAGGTACAGTAGGAAGCCCACAACAGTAAACTAAATGTTTTAAAGAAAACCATGTGTGCAAACAGACTGACATTCTGTCAACATGCTGTTCACTCAGACTACTACAAGTTGTTTGGGGCGAGTTGCCACGGCTGTGACTTTGCCATCGAGGCAGGGGACAAGTTCCTGGATGCTCTAGGAGTCACCTGGCATGACACCTGCTTCGTGTGTGCGGTAGGTCCAGGAGACAGTTTCACTCACAGCAACAACAAGAGCGAAAAAATGAGAAAATGTTGAGAATATTGTGTGAATATCAACACAGCTCTGTATAACTTTGGCTCTCTCCACAGGTCTGCTCTACCAGTCTGGAAGGTCAGGCGTTCTTCTCCAAAAAAGACAAGCCTCTGTGCAAGAAACATGCCCACACTGTCAACATCTGACCTGCCTCTCATGGATATGTAGGGCAAAGGTGTCAGTTTACAGCAACTTATATTCCAGTCAGATGTTCCTTATTTTCAGAACTAACATTGTGTCAGAGGTTCCACTATAAGCTTTATTTTTGCTCTAATATTGTTATGTCATATCAGTTTGAATATGCAGGAGTACATTTCAATACACTGTCAGCCCCCTGCCAGTTCAAATGTCACCTGCCGATGCACATGTTTGCGCTGAGCTTTTTATTTGTGCTGAAGCTTTGTTGAGCTCTTGATGGGCATTTTAGTTTCACACAGAATATGATAGTTTACTGCAATGACCTACTGAGCCCCTCGGGGGTCACATACTATAAAGAAATATTGATGGGGAAAGGTATGCTAATAGTTAAGTGAGTGAACGTTTTAGACATTTTGATTGTTTAACATTAAGGGGATAAATTATTTATTTGTAAGCAAGGATTGCTCAGCAAAAAGACTTCTGGGAAATTTTAATATGTTTTTTTTTTATTGTTATAAAAGTATGTGGTGTGTAACCATTCCCAGTAAAAAAAAAAGCACGAACAAGTAATGTGTACAGCAGTGTGAAAATTAGGCACTGCAGGTCAAGTTTCATTGTTAAACCGGATAATAATTATATACTAAGGATAAAGTACAGTCATTAAAGAGACAACCCATAATAGATTGAATGGTGTTGTTTATGTGTGTTTTGTTAAACATTCATTAAACTCGCTCCTGGCATTAAAATGCACAGAATTTGAATTGTTTTTGTTAAATATGGAGGAAGTGAACCCTCTGCTGTGGCAGTGTGTTTCTGCTGTTTTCTACTGTCATGATGAATTTGTTGATGTTTTTCTGACGTTTGATGGAACTAGTCCAATTAACACAAAACAATGCTAATTAATATTTCAGCTTTCCTTTGTCAAAGACATAATCTGTATGCACATTGGACATAAATAAAGTACCTCTCTCTCTCTCTCCTTACTTTCAGTTCAAATATAAGCGTTCAACATTGATATCGAAGCTTTCGAGTATGTCATACAACACTACCTTCATACATTATTTGAGGCTACGGCTTGACTGAAACATTAAAAAGCAACTCCTGCAAATACTGCATTTACAGTATGTGTTGTCCACATGCACTTTTTATGTTCATGTTTGCATAGAAAGCACAGCAGCAAAGAATTTTCTTGGTATACATATTTTAAATCCGTAGTTGTGACAGTAATTATTCAGACAGGCACCAGCATGAGCTTTACCTGCAGTAAGAGGACAAAGTTAACATCTCCATAGGGACAGGAGAAACGCACTCACACACACACACACTTGGTGCATTCTTTCTTGCATAATAACAATTCCGAGGAATGGAAGTCAGCAGGAAACACACACACACACACACATTGTTGAGTGAATTGAGTCATGGGAGTGTTGTGGGAAGATAATGTACCTGGAGGAACAGCCCTGAGTGTACTGACGTGCACTGCTCCAAGACGTCGGAGGTGGGAGCTGTGCGCATGACGACGCGAGATATACCAGCCTCAAATAACCCGTGGTACACTTGAGAAAACTCTGCCGCAACACAGAGGCACACATTCAAATAATACAGAGCAAGGGCAGCGTTCATATCGAGACGAGCTGGGATCTTGTGGAGCTGATTTTGAAGCGAGAAGGAGACGGTAAGGAAACTTTGCATTTTAAAGAAAAAGAAAACCTCCCCAACAGCAGCAGTCTGGTGTGAGCTGCAGCTGAACTGTTGCGGTTGTGATTATCAAGCTTTCCTCAGTGAAACCAGAGGGCACCGAAGCCTGATTCGTTGTCCGTGCTGCTGTTCATTAGAATTCAACCGAAGTGCTTATTTTGCTGCCTGCGCTGAGTTTGATGCTGGCAGCAGCTGCGGGACTCCAGACAGTGTTATTGGTGGAGTCTGTGATGATGGTGATGCTTATCAGTAATTGGTGCCTTGATCGCTGCCTAGTGCGTCTTAACGTCTGACCTGGGGGAGGATATCTCTTCTAAATTGCGTTAAGATAAGAGTTTATAGGTTTAATTAATTGACATTGACTTGAGCTGAACATGGTTAATTAAAGTCTGTCCGGGTAAAATCTGATTATACGTTTATGGTGCTTTTTTATGACTTTGAAACATTAATGATGTGCTGGATGAAACAGTCATCACCTCAAAGTCCATTTACTAGCTGTTCCGGAGCTTTCGATCACATCACTTTCATCACTGGATGCAGTTTACTTAGTCGCCATTTTCAAATGTCCATTTTCCAACTTAACTTTAAAGTTGAATTGTCATTCCAAACTGGTTCCATCTGCTTCAAGATCACTTAATATGACCGAGAGTTACTAAATGGACCTTGTAGTGATATTGTTTTCTCAACTTCTGCTTCCAAGGTGAAGATGGAACTTTAAACCTCGGCTTCGTGATGCGATTTGAGCACAAGAATCATCTTGTGCTCACTTGTCAATTAAGATTAAGATTATGCTCATCAGTGTAGAGAGAGGGCGAGTTAAATACAGTGCAGGAAAAGAAAATCCCACTGTTTGTGTTAATGTTTGGCAGCGAGCTAAAGACTCCATCGCCATTCGGTGTGTAGTGGCATGGCGTCAATGGCAATATTTGGCTGATGAATGCATGGCACAAAACCGCTCTGTGCTCTGCAGTTGATCACCGAGCGTCTGTGAACCAGAGCTGATGTCTGTGACTCACTGAGGTCCTGATGTTTACACCAGCATCTCAGAGTGCAGAGAGAACATGCTGCACCTCATGCAAGTCTGTGGTGTTGTCTTTGAATGCACCAACCACCCTGTGACTCAGGACAGAGAAGCTCATTGAAGCAGAGCTAAGTGAGTGTTTTGGGATAATATTAAACACACAGAAAGCGATCAAACCACCACCCAGTCCTTGCCCTGGCTCTGCCCCTGGCAGGAGTAATGCCCGTCATTAGGCTTACACGATGGGGATGACATGTCAAGTGAGGGTGCATGGCAAGCCAGCGCTTTGTGGTCTACCACAGACTTGTGTGTGTGTGAAACGTACCAACATTCGTCACGATGGGCCAAGTTACAGTACCAGCATGAAGGCAGGCCTGTGACATGGAGTCCTCACAGACCTCTGTATGTAGCATAATGTTGGCTAATGGTAATCCTGAAAGACCTGAAACTGAACCGCACATTCTGTCTGTACACTTGTGGGCTTCTATCCATGGTTGAAAAGTGAAGGATGATGAGACATCACATATTTCCAAAATATGTGGGCTTGATGGAACTATGGCTGCAGAAAATCATAAAAACTGACATAAGAGACGCAGAATAACTCTGCAAGTGTACAGATTATTCATTGGATTATAGAATGTTTACTTGCAGTTGATACCCTGCCAAACAGGTTTTTTTTTTTTTTTTTTAATATGAAGACATCTTTTCCAGGAGGACACCAGTTCCTCTTAGAAATGGCTGCCCATGTGGGCATACCTGCACAAATACACACACTCATTCAGAGTTGGTCATCTACTCTCTGATGCACATAAACAGTCATGATCTCGGTAGATATAGTGGAGTCTGGGTTTGTCCACGAGCTAAACTTAGCAAACTGCAACCCTTCTCCCTAGTTTCCTCCTTTTATAATTACAGGAAATGAGTCCAGCCAATCAGAGAAGATATATTTTGCTGCATATTAACAAGCTCAATGGGAGCAGTATTTGAGGACTGGACAGGTAATGACCAAGTATGTCGGAGGGAGGGGTTTCCAGAAAGTTTGAAAGATTGTTTGATAATGAGGAGCGCTCTGGTTTGCAGGAGATGTCCGTGTGACAATGAAAGAAAAGTAACTCTCCGGCTTTAAGCAGTCTGTGGACTGTCAGACAGATTGTATGGTGGAACTACAGTATATCAAGAGACACACATGTCCCAGGCAGCCTCTATGTCTTTTCCAGCTGCCAGACCATTTCCTTTAGTTTCTTCTCCTCTACACACACACTAATAGATGAACATCTCATACCAAGGCTTTCCACAGGTACAGTATGGCTTTTCCATCTGTCATTCATTCGCTGATTTCTGCAGTGGTTGGCTGTTTTTCCCCCACACACTATCACAATGTACTGTATCTCCAACACACACACACACACACACACACACACATACAAACCAAAGGAGAGACACAGCCACACAGTCGTATTTTCTTTGCAACAACGTTGATGCAGGCCTGTGCTTGCTTTTTTTCCAGACAGACTCGTCCCTCTCTGGAGGAGACATAGTCCGAGCGATCACTTTGTGGCCAAAGTTCTTAGATTTAAATCAAGTTAGAATTTCTACTTTCAGATAAACTGATCACTGAGAGTGTTATGCTGTGGCTATACTCTGGCTGCCATCAGCCAGGAAGTACAGGCGTAATGCAGCTTCTCTTGTTCCACTTAGGAATAATCTTCTTCTTACCTGTAGGCTCCACAGGATCTTTGACAATTAATTCAACGGCCAGAGCTAAGTACCGATGTCCCGCTCACCGTTTCATCTATAGTCGTTGATGAGAGAAATGCGGGCAACAGGAATTGGTTAAAGCTGCAAGCTGCTCTGCTCTTTGCCTGGAAGGTCAGCAACCATGTGAGAGAAAGTCGACATCCTGTTATTAGAGAAAGAGAGGCAGGGGGAAAAAAAAAGGAGAAAGAGGTACAGGATGAGTGGGGGATGATTGAAGATCGAGGAACAGAAGAGGATAAGGGGTATTTTGCATGACTGGGTGAAAGTCAAAGTGGGGGAAGTGACCTGAGCTTGAAATGTAGTCTCAGTCCTTTCAGTTGTAGATGGCAGACATATGAGCTCCTTCTAATAACTCTACTTGTTTTTCTTCCAGAGACAGACAAGTGCTGGAGCTGGGGCAGGATGGTGACAGGATGCTTTCTGATATCCTATGTTTGGATGGTGAGTCGAGCTCTCGGGCAATCTATATCTGTTGTTTTTCAACATCGTAATGATTCCTATGAATTGAATAACAAAGCACTTATTTGTCTGCAATTTGTTGATAGTAAAACTGAGACATATTGATAAATGTCCAATATAAACCCTCAAATGTAATTTGGAGTGGTTTCACTTGATTTCCAAACCAGTGGTGTTGTGAAGAAAGTGAAATCTAAAGCTAAAAGCCGTATTGATCAAGATAGACTTGAGTGTTGATTCTCCTGCAGTAGAAGTAGTATTTCACAGGGCTGATGCTGTGTGTGTGTGTGTGCGTGCGTGTGTTGGTGTGTTTTCTGCAGCAATTTGCCTCCAAAGTGGCAAGCTAATTGACTTTCTGCTGAGCATGTGGATGGCTATGTAAAATACACCACACTGACTATAATATAATCCTGTTTTCTCCACTGAAGTGTCAGGTAAGACACAGACTCCGTCTACCGACCGGAGTGCCGGAAATGACTGAGATCAACATCTGATAGAGTGTAGTAAGTTTTAGAAACTCTCGGAAGTTTTGATTTCACCTGAGCAATTTACCATAGCATTGCAGGACTTGACTGTTTTTATGAAAGATGAGACATTTCTTTTGTCTAACAATGCCCAACAATTAAATTTTTTTTTTCTCTTTAACTCATTTATGTAGCAGATTTTCCTGCATAGAAATATTATTTTACTATAATACTGTACTACATCAAATGGAGGTATTAAAATATAAATATATATATATATACATATATACATATACATATATACACATACATACAAGACAGCTGTGTGTGAGTCGGTGTGTGTGTGCGTGCGTGCGTGCATATATATAGAGAGAGAGAGACATTTTGAGTCATTGCATTGCAGAACAAATAAATCATTGGTAACTGGATACACTGCATATTGTTGCCCCTTGATTTAAACAGTGAGCAGGCGTGCTGCATCATTTAATTAGCATTCCTTTTACATTAAGCCATGAACTTGCCACTACAAGACCCATCATAAACAGCAGAATATGCTGACACAGCTCCAACGTAGAGGTTCGGTGTACAGTCGGGAGCCAAACCCATGCAGGGCAGTGATAACTCGAGTTACTGTTCCTACGAGAGGACAATAGCAGCCTGTATATGTTAGGAGAGGCCTGCTCGGACTCCTTCTGTGACAGTGACCTGCTGGCAGGAAAGTGAAGAGGGCCGAGGCCAAGCACCGGTTTGAATTGGAGAGTAACTCACACCCGTAAGGAATGTCAAGAATCCGTGTGTTAAAGTTCACACTGTATCACCATCTGCGGCTGGATCCTGGCAAATACAAGACAGCTGTGTGTGAGTCGGTGTGTGTGTGTGCGTGCGTGCATGCATGTGAAAACCAGAAGATGGACAGAAAACAAAAGCATATCATACAAATATCATTACTGCGTTTGAAGGTTGTTGATTACATTTCTTTTATGCACATGTTTCAAGAACTATGTTTACATTCACACAGCAAATATTACAGTGTACACACAGTCTCTCTTATTCTCAGGTAACACATGCATACCTGACAAGCAGGTAGCAGGCAGGAGGTCAGCCCATAATTATGCCCTGACTTAGTGGTTTATTAAGAAAAGACAAGTCAGAGAGACCACCCACAAAGGTCACCTGTTCCAGCTGAAAGGGAAAGTCTGAGATTCAACACTCTTTGCTGTGTTAGTTCAGCGCGGTACCCAGCTGTGACTCAGTGTGTTTTTTTGCTGACACAATATTAGCTCAAGGTTACTGGAGTATACTTTGTGGTACTTGCTTAAAGTTTATTATTCCTTATATCTGTGTGAAGAAGGGATTCTGTGTTTCACCAGACTCAAAACATATCAATGTGATCTCCCTCGACAGTTTTGATCTTTCAACAGACTGATCTGCAAAGCTTTGTTCTAAATTCTTGCACGTCATCTAAACCATAGACCTTCTTCTGCTCCGTATCTGATTCTGCAATTGAACCTCACGCTTGTCCGCTAAATAGCAAGTGACAGCGAGTGCCACTCAGACTGCGAGAGGAGATGGAGAAACAGATGAAGTCAATTTCTGTCTTGTTCATGTTTTTCCCGGCTGCTCAGCCTTGTGTTTCTGATGACAGATTGTGAAATGGCTTTCATATGTGCATTCCCCTTAGATTCGGTAGAGGGCAGAGGGCATTAAGAGTCGTACCTGTGAGGCCGCCTGCAGGGAAATGTGCTGAAATACGAGCTTTCCATTGGAAACCGGTGGATAGAGGCGGATGAGGAGGATGCTGCAGTGACGTTTGAGAAGAAGCTGTGTTTGCATAGATCATATCAGGTGAGTCTCTCACACACACACACACACACACACACACACATGCGCAATACTACATCATATCCCTGTCAAGTTTTGTCAGTGCTCGTAGGATTAGTGAGCCAGCCAAAACAGGTGACGGGTGATTAAACTCATGTCAACGGTTCATGAAAAGGACTTTAACGTTGCATCAACTTAGTTACTATTGCAAACAAAAGGTGAGTCATGTTACTGTAGCTTGCATGTCAGTTTGGAGTAGTTCTCAACCCCCGAGCTTTCTATATGGTGTCTGCCACACCCTGGTGCTTACTTTCAACTTGTGACAGCTGCTGTTCTTTGTTGGAGCAGTTAAGTGTTTTGGCACGTGTTGTCATGATTTTCCAGACTTTCCCCAGTGGCGTTTTGAACGCTGTTTGTTTTTTAACCAGTTCTCCTGCAGCTTGGCCTGAGGCGGAGATAATTTGTCCTCTTTGGAGCTCAATTAGTTGTCTTGTGTTACTCTGAAAAGATTAAAGTGCAGATGGTTAAACCTTTTTTTTTTATAGCTATAAATACCGCTATAGTGACTGACATTCAGCCTTATATGACCCACTTTGGTAGCAGTGTGTCGTAATTGTGATTAAGTTACTTCAATTATGCACTATGTATGTGGTACGGAGGCCTGATGACATCCCTGAAGGATACAGACTTCCTTGATGGCCTCACTTGTGGGAAAGAGTTGGAAAACCACACTTTCAGTAGCTTGATTGACTTCTTTTGAAGGTGTGGTCTGTACTGTGGTGCTGTATTTTTTATATATATATATATATATATATATATATATATATCTCTCAACATTAAAGGGGAAAACGAGTGAGCCACACCCAATCACTCATGTGCCCTTAATCTTTAGTTACGCTTTCTGTACAGTCTGATACGAGACCGGCTTCTCTTCTTGTCTTTCCAAGTCTGGCCCCTTCGGTGGCTCCGAGAGCTTCGCGTCGAGGAGAGGCTGGATCGGATTACAATAAAAAGAGACGGAGAAAGAGTAGCTAACCTGCTACAGCCTGGACTGTTATTGCAGGTGTTCAAGAGCAGACACAGCTGTTAATTACCTCTCTGTAGCTGCACACGTTGAGCTGCAGTCACACATGAATGGCCTCAAACAAGTGCATGTTGGCATGCCAGAATAAACAGATTAGGATTTAAGGATCAGAAAACAATTTCAGGGGATGAAATGGTTTCTTGGTTTATCTCATATTTGCTTTTGGCCTTTTTTTTTCGGTTTTATTTCAGGCAGCCAAAAGCAGTCAACCACATCTGTTCACGGAGAATTGAAAATGTATAATCGGGAAATTAGCTTTATCTGCGCTTTTAGAACGACTGCGTATACAAGTATGTGTGAGAACATGCGAGTGAGACCGGTCTGTGAAAATTCTGTTAAATTGTCTCGTGTTTCAAATATGTATAATTTGTAGCCGTAATTGGGGGTGAGCTGTGCAGATTTTGCCTTCAAAATCAACAACCAAGTTCATTCTCAGCTTCTGCCAAGAAGCTTTAAAGTGGCATAACACAAAAATGATAATGTATGTATATAATTCAGGTTATTTATTGAATTTCTTCAGATATATAAATTTAAAACTTGTTTAGTTGCTATAAACCCTATAGTGAAAGTAAATCAGATTGCTTTTGGCTTATGGACATGTTAAACTATATGTCCGTCCATCATTTAATCAGTATTAGACGAGTATCAGACTAACGTAAGGGACAAAGATTGGAGCCTTCATATCTGGTTTAGCTCACTTCTGTCTGTCTGAGTGCTGCTCCAGCTCCTTCTTCTGCTTGTCAACACACATCAATCACATCATCATATGCTGGAACGACATAGAGAGTCATGCATATTCAGTGTCCGTCGTTTCAATTTAAGGAAAAAAGGCTAAATGAGGAGCTGTTAAATTGAGTGACTGGCCTGTAATGCAGTAATGCTACTGGCCTGTAAGTAATATAACTCAGCATTTATATTGGAGAAACATTATGTTCACGTGATTTATATAGGATAACAATATTTAATCTGCATCTCAAGTCAACTGCAGTAGTTGTTTCTTCAACAGCCCTTTATCACAAGCATGTCTCTGTTTTAGAGTTTGTGTTCGCTCCCTAAACTTTTACGAGGTGTATGTGTGTGTGTGTTTTTATGATCGTGCTCGAATTTGTGTCAGTGAACAGCTGCTCCTCCTTTTCTCCACCTGTGTATTGCGGCTTTGAACAACACAACAGTAGTTCTCTTGTTCTTCTCGTAAAGATCAAGTTAAATTAGCGATTGCACCGGTTTAAAGCACACTACTCTCACTGGCAAGAAATTGGAAGATAAGCGGCTTTTGTCTCGAGGGCCAACATCTTGTGGCTTTATTGGTTTCCTGGTTCAAGTTTGAGCTGAAAAAGGCTTGATTTAAGCACACGCCTGCGTTGACACACAGTTTTTCTACAATTAAAAACAGTTTTCTGCTTCTGGACACAAAGTGGTCAAGATGGTGGGTGTTCCCCACCTTTTTAAAACATGTGTTTATTTAACTTTTTGAAAGTGCTGCAAATTAAGCAGCGAGTAACCTTGGGTGGATTGTTCCATGGGAGTACAAGTGGGTGAGAGGGAAAAGGGAGAAGAAGGAAGCTAAGAGAAAAACCTTAAATAGGAAAATGACTGGAACTCCTAGGGTTTTCAAAACAAAACTCAAGATTTCATTACACATACCTGGACAACTGAAGGCATGGAAAAACCCCTCCCTGCGGGTGCGTATGTGCACTCGCACGCACATGCATGCACTCAACAGCTGGGTTGGTCAGAGAAATAATAAGAATAATGTAAACTAAATAGAGCAAAGACAACTCCCAGCCAACAGAGCCAACACGTGTCGGCGGTTTCAGAAATATGCAGAACCCCCGGTCATCAATCACAGACAGGAGGCCCTCAGTCGCGCTGACAGGCTCGGACAGAGAGGAGGCAGAGCTTTTTTGGCCGCTCTCTGTGTGTGTGTGTGTGTGTGTGTGTGTGTGTGTGTGTGTGTGTGTGT